TTTTTCGGGGAAAGTGATACGGTTTCAGACATAGTTTTTGGTCCGCTGCTGGTTGCAGCTCCGGGTTTTTTTTTAAGGGGGGGGCAACAATTATTAGACGCCAGCTTCATGAGGTCAAGTGGTTGGCGAAGTTAAGCACGCAAAGAGGCCAAAAGTATTACTAGTCATTCTAATATTAAAGCTTCGATCTTCAACGCTTTTACACATATTCTACTGAGGACCATGAAGTTGGCTGCCAAATAAACCTGGGATTTAATCTCCAAATGCTAGTCCCCTTGACGTCAGCAAAGCTCGCTGCTGCAGTGCCCAATCAGAATAGGGGCGAAAGTTTAGGATTTAAACATTGAGGTCACTGTCTGCTTCACCGCTAAAGTGCGAAGTAATGTAGCCCAGAACATTGTGCGAGGGAGAGGGGGCACTGCTATTACTTAACACACTTAGACCGTACTCACCCACACCAACTCCGTGTACTGCTAAGGAGTAATTTGTTTCCAAACTAGAGTTCAGAAAATGTAGAAAAGGTGCCTAAAATAAATCTAGGAAGACAAAGGAAGACAAGTACCATCAGAATAAAATACTTGATTCGGTGGTTCACGCTATTAAGCAGGACACAGATCGAAACAAATCTATCAAGCTATTCCTCTACGATTTGAGAAGAAGCTGCCACAAACAACCACAGGGAAAATATTTCGACGCGGCCTTGCGGATAGATCACACTTTTCCAAACTGGCCTCCTCCAGCCTGTTTGGACGGCAGTTTCCATCACCACCCCACTCGGATGATGGGAGATGAGGTCCCACCCATATGGCAGGCGCCAGGTAGGGAAAAGCTGGGCGATTTGACTGTCTCGAACGTGCGTCCCGTTTTGCAAGACAGCAGGACCCAAGGCATCTCTAGCAAGGCCGGAAGTTGCAGACTCCCCGCCCTGGCCTAATCTGCGGGAGGAGATTTTGGCTGTGACCGCCGCCGAAGTAGAAGGAACCCCAGGACTTCAGGGGGAAAAAAAACTTTAAACCTAAGTCGGAGGAAAGAGACTCATTTGGAAGTTACGATTTGTACTTCTGCCTTATCTCTTCCCTGCCACCTTCGGAGTTTAGGTCTGAACGCAATGAATCCTATTGAATCAACGAGATTCGTCTCTGAGACAACGCTCTTGGGTTCCACTCTTGTGTTGGATTCTATCTGGTTGCCACACATAACAGATACCTTCCCTCAGAAAAAACTTTTCTTACTAAGTTTTAAATAATTTATATGTAGGTGGGGAACTTTAAGTTTAATGAAGGTACACATGCACACGCACACACACATTAACACGTTTAATGTGTTAATCTGTGTGTGCACGTATTTACATATCCATTCTTGCCTTTAGAGTGTAAATGGAGAAGATAGATATAATTCGTGTTTGTAGTGTACACTTGTCTATAAATGAAATGGATTTTGTATATCAAATTTGCCTATCAGAACTTTATATTGCCTTATTTCACAGTATCCTGTATATATTTGTCCCAATGTGGTATATAACCCACAATTGCACACTTGGAAATCTGCTGGAAACGCTCCAGAAGTGATATCAAATTCAAGTTAGGAATGATTCCAACTCCTTTAATAGTTCGCGTTTCCCTCTCCTACCTCTTACACACACACACACACACACACACACATGCACACACACACACACACACACACACACAGGAAATGTTAAAGGGAACAGTATGTATCGGCTCATCTATAGTGAGCCTCGGGAATTATTATTTATTTAGCACATTTTAGGTATGGGTGACGATTCACCCGCGAACGGAAGACGGTTGTTCTTGTTTTAACGAAAGCCTCCTGATGAAAAGGTTATTCTGTACCATCCGGGGATTCCTCTAACATATCGCTCTCTGGTGTAAAGAAAGAAGGGGTCCTGAGGTTTCAGGATATCATCCGGAAGAATCCAACGCTGAGATTCCTGAGGACTAAGCCAAAAAGGAGCGGGGGGAGGGAACCAGAGGGAAAACTTGTTAAGGTTATGCCATGAATTCCTTCGAGAGCCAAACAGAGACACCCGGAAGCCGTTCCTGGCTTTAATCCACAGCTTGGCCAGGAAAGCATCCGCCGTCCTAACCGCTCCCAGCCTTGGGAGCCGCAGTAACTTTAGCTAGCAACTCAAGTCGGCTTGTAGCTAAGGTTACATTGGTTGGGTGGATACAGCCCCTCACCTTTTCGGACCTTTCGACCGGAGACTGGGCGGGTCTGGAAAGGAGCCCGACAGACTGAGGAAGGACAGAATCTGTTCTTCTAACCGAACTTTGCGCTTGATCAGTCAAAGAGTCTGGCTTTCCTTGCTTCGGGCCGGCAGCAGGTGACCTCGGAACTAGGATCCATCTTCCCTTTCATTTTATACACCTCGATGGACTTTCACTGCCGGCGGAACTCAGAATGAAAACAGATCTTATTTTTCTTCAACCCTCCACATCGCTTCGCTCCGGTCCATTTTATACAATTCGGCTTCCATGGAGAAAGAGGCGGCGGGCAAGCAAACACTATTCGTCACTGGTTCGCGCTAGCGCATTAAATGCTTTAGTCAAGTTTAATTAAAGCTTGAAAGCTCAGTGCTGTCACCCGACCTGATTGCAGGAAGGCCCCGGGAAACTCAGCAGGAACTGGAGCACCAGTAGAAGAGCGGGCGACTTGGACATGAACCATAAAGTTGGGCAGAGTCTGGGCCAAGTCGAAAAAGGGTTTAAGCGTTGGTTTATTTTCAACTTCAATTAAATTTTCCATTGTTTTCAGGAACTTCTCCCTTTTCCCCCTTCCTCTCCTGTTTCCACCACTTGGAGGGGAAGGAGGGGAAGGCATTCAGGTAATGAAATTGGCAACTAAACAGTAATTGAATCAGCATAATTTGCACACGGAATGCATTTCAAATGCTCCCAGTTTACAAGTAAAGAACTGACGCGCTTTGCTTTCAGCACGCCGCACATTTAGAATAAGGACTTATTTTAAGTTCTAGCAAACAACATGCCCGACGAAATAGGGAAAATTCACGCAGTTTAGGAATCTCGATCCTGGTTAAATGTTCAGCAGTTTTCTTAACACCGTTTGCAACAACCACAAGAGATAGGGATGACGCTACAAAATCCTCCCTCCCCCCTATCAAAAAAAATTAAAAGAAAAAAATTGTTAAGGGAAAATGACCATTTCAGATGTCCGTAGTCAATGAAGGGTTGCAGAATCATTGCCCTACATGATGTCACTAGTGTGAGTCTTGCCACTTTGAGAATCTTGGACGAGCGTCAAATCTCCAGCCAGATCTCACATTCCTTTTGGATTTACAACTGACCACCGCATAGAGAAGGGATAGTCAGAATGCTCGCGTGTTGGTCTTTTATTAAAAGGAAAGACAAAAACGCTTCCAATATTTATTTATTTTTAACTTCCAAACTGGCACACGATCCTCCTTTGCGAAGGAGAGGGAGCGAAGGTTACACGAGCAGGTGGATAGCATCCAAGAGCGTTGATTTCCAACGGGAGGGGTTGCCCCCATGTTCACCTGTTTACCCCGAGATGTCCCGAACGAGGCTGAAATTGGGGAACCGCGCCCTCAAGCGCCCAAAGCTTGCAATTACAGGCAGCGGAAAAAAGCTTCCGAAGAAAGGCTTACCCCGGAAGACCCTAAAGAAGCTCATTAGGTTTCTGCTTGTTGGGTTGAAATTACACTAAAGCCTTTTCAGCTCTTGTTCTCTGTTTTCTTCCTGTCCCTCGCATTGCCGTTTATCCGATCTGTAAACCGATGGCTTCCGAAAGAAACCGAACCGGCTCTGGTGATGCAGATCGTTCGATCCATGCAGAGAACTGGATCCACGGGGGGAAAGGAGCTGCAATCTCTGTGCCCCAGGTAATCTTGAAGGGGAGTTATCCCCGAGCACTTTCTGACTAGGCTAATGGAGGATGCTCGGTGGGCTTACCGCGGAATGGTTCATATAAGTAGGATTTATTCTGTGGTGGGCGGGGGAAGGATAACCAAAGGGACGTTATTTTCCCACGCCCAAGATTCCCGCTAGTGGAGAACGACTGGAAGGACTTTTCGGAGTAACAACGGAGACCTTTTTCTCCTTCCGGGAGATCATTCTAAAGCCCAAAGGGTGGGGCATGGAGACAAAGAAGCTGTCTTCCAATGATCACACCGAGCAGCATTCTGCCAAATATCAGCTTCCTATTTCTAGTTCCTGGTACGTGTATTGGGTTCTAATTCCCAACACGCCCTCCTAGAATTGCCAAGCGATAACTCCCATCATTCCCACCTTGGGCAGGAAGCCAACTGCTCCCATCATTCTCAACTTACGAGGCGGATGGCCAATTGTTTGAGAGAAATGGAAGTTATATTCCAGATCATTAGGAAGGCACCGGACAGGGAAGAGTTTCGGACTGTGTGCCGGAGGGAGGGGTCGAAGAATCAGGGTGATAGCGGAGTCATCAGAATGGGCTTGGAACTCAATCCCGCATATTTGCTAAACCGCCCTGTGATTTTGCCCCCTTTCTTACGTGTGAACGAACAGAAGGTTTAATGCTCAATTAAAAGAACGTGAGAAAGAAAAAGTTTTACAGAACATGAATCCGAAACACCACCACTAACTGGCAAAATCCTTCCAAGAATCGCTGAGCAGGATTCCTTCCTTCACACTCTGAATCTCCCACACAAACAGAAGCCCTGATCAATAAGACTGCAATGTCTCTGCCCGGTATCCGTTGTGTGACCCCCCCACTCCAAATGAAAACTCCCCAAGAGCGACCTCCCCTTCCTCAACCTAACCTTAGACCTTTGAACTTGCAGGAGCTGAACTCTCCTCTCTACCTCAAGGCACGTCCGTGATTGATGGAAGCATCCAGGGATCCGATAAGTTTGTCTGGAGTGTAGGACTTCTCCCCCTGGATCGAGGCCTCCTCTGCTGATATCCCGCCGGCAACCCCGGCTGGGAGAGGAGCGGAGAGAGAGAAAGAAAGGCGCGGAAACTTACCAGGTACAGCAAAGGTTGCAGCAGAAGCACCGCGTACCAATATGTGGGCTGCATCCTCGCGGCTCAAACTTCCTTCGCGCTGCTCGGGCTCCCTCTCTGTTTCGCCAGAACCATAGATCCACCCGGCATCTACTTTAAAGAGCCAGGACAGCTCGCTTCAGCCTAGGCAAAAATGAAAGGATAAACTCCATGACCACGAGACAAGATTAGCTGTCGAGTTGAGTGGAAAGGGAGGGGGAAGGGGAGAAACCCAGCTGGCGAGGGGGGAAGAAGGGGATGCCTCAAAGAGAATTAGTCCATTTGGCAAGAGCGCCGGGAGAAGAGCTTTCCTTGGGCCAAATTAACTAGTTGCGGGCTGACTCCAGAGCGAGAGGCTTAATAAGAGCTGGTTTTTTTTTTCCAGTGTCCAGCGCTATTGCGGTCTAGGAGGGTGGGAAGAGAGGGCATCCACCAGATCTTTCGCCGCCACCCCGACTCTTCGCGTAGGGCAGGAGTAAAGCTACGCGCTCGGCCAGGAGGGCGCGGAAAGTGGGGGAGGAGAAGGATCAGGAGAGCGACGGGGGAGGCTGAGAGGAGCCAATCGATTAACCTGGGCTCCCGGATCATGGCCGAGACCAAGCTCAAGTACCAGGCAAAGGTTTCGAGACAGTGGCTTGAACCTGAGAGGTACCCAAAGAACCTCGTGCGCGCGCGCGCGCATACCTCGCTTTCTCCCACAGATTCCCCCCCCCCTTTCGGTGCTTCGAAGCAGCTTTTCTGTCTCTGCCTTGTCCTGACCCTCTTGCCTCATTGTTAGTCGTCAAATCTCCCCGCTGTTCAAGTCTCCCCCTCTTCCCCCCCCCCCGAAGGCTCGCTGGGAAAAGAAAAGCGTCCACCTACTGCATGTGGGGTCCGAAAGCAGGTATCGATCTCTGGCAATAGTCCATAGGAAGGAAATCAGCACAGCAATCAAAGCCAGCTACGCGGGCTCGGGTGCTCGGACAGGGTCCCCTCGGCGCGGTTGCTCCATGATATGGGCGGAGATCCCGTGGAAACAGGTGCCGCCGGTTTCGGAAGGGAAGCGCCCAGGTACGGTCACGATGGCAGGAAACTTGCAAGAGGAAGGAGACCTGAGGCTGTCCGGACCGCCCGCGTCTTTTTGCAGCAGCCACCGCTATTGCCTCCTGGGCGTTCCGAGTGATTTGTCTCTATTAAAAATGACTTATTGGCCAGCAAGTGCCCAGCGATGGTTGCTCTTTAAGTTTCGATCAAATCTATCTGCAAAGACCTTGGCTGATCATCTCTTTAGGGGGAAGGGAGAGAAAAGGGGGAGGAGAAGTTGAAGGGGGAAGGGGAGGGGAAGCCAAGCGATACAATGCAAGCGGCTGGGTGGCAGAGCCCCAGAGCGCTGTCCGAACCATTTCAGCTGGAAAAAGGAAGGGGTAAAGCTATGAGACTTTAAGCTGCACCCCAGCCTCTCTCGCCTGAAACTGGCGGCGAATCAGAGTCCTCCCGAGGAACTCTGCAGTGCAGTGCCCTGCCGCCAGAGGACTCTCTTCCGCTCTTCCGCAGGCTTACACAGCTGCCGGCGTTGACGGTGGTCTCCTCGCCTGGAACCACGGGGCGTGGAAACGGGATGCCCTAGCAAAGCGTTAACGTGCCCTTTGCGCCGGGAGACAGAAGAAAGATTGGCTTCGCTTCGTTTCGTTCTCTCTCTTTCTCTCTCTCTCTCGCCCCGCCCCGCTTGCTTTGCTGATTTCTGGCTCCCTCTTCTTTCTAAGTAGCAATTAATATCCCATGAATATGAATAATGATGTCGCCCTTGGCTCCCGAACAAACAATAAAGCATTTGGAAAGGGAAGCTTCAAGTCTTCCGATGCTTCCCTGGAGGGGGCTGGGAGATGGCTAGAGCAATGAGCCGCGAAGTCTGGTACCCGAGATAAGAAAAGTTGGGCGGCGGGGCATGGCATGGCGAAAGCCGCCTCAGATGCAAAACCCGCCCTTTTCCGGGGCGGGCTGAAGTTGGAGGGTGGAAAGCTGGGGCTATTTCCTTCATTCCTATTAGAACAATAACTTCGGAATAGTTACTTCGGTAATTGCCTTGGGCTGCCACGTTTGAGATTTGAACGTAGGCGTTACACAATGGATTCAGGATCAGCCCACTCTCTGCTGGGCCCTTAGCATGCAGACCTCCCGTTCTCCATCTGTCAGTACAAAAAAGTTGTTTAATGTATCAGCTGCTCCCTAACACCAGTTTACCATAGTTCCCAGTATTGATTTATATAGCCCAATTGCAGACATACACACTTTTGGTATCCTATTGTGTGCAAGATTGAAAAATGCAGGATCATGAATTGGGGATTTGAGGATCTAAGATTAATTAACCTAAAGTAAAAATAAGGGAGAGGAGACTTGGTAAATCATTGTCAATAATCTTAACTAAGAATTTCATAGATCCATTCTGAAAGGATAATTTTTCCTTTTGCTGTTTTGGTTTAGCAAAAAAAAAAATAAGATTTAGACTGCAACTCTTTACAGACTGATCTAGAATTGCAAACCATTGAATTCAATGAGGTTTATTTCTGGGTCGATTTTGCAATGCAAATGTGCTACAATATAGAACATTAACTGAACAGCTAATAATACCAAACACATCTTGCAGATGCTGTAATGAAAGAAGGCTACTACACCAAGCTTGTAAGTTACCTAATTTTTAGAGTGTTTTCAGGCAGCTTTTATTTCAGCTATCAGAACTCTGTTTTCTAGTGTTTTAAAAGCAATCCTAATTTAAAGTGCATTTGCTACAGATGAAGAAGTGAATTTGCAAGAGATGAAGACATGAATTTGTGTTCATCAACATCAATTCACAGATAGATGGGTCACTATAAATTGAACACTTTATACATCAGGAGTGTCCTAGAATTATAGAGATACAGCACATCCAGAAATCCAGCAAACAAAGACACCCTAGTTTAAATCCTAGGGTGTCTCAATTGAAAATAAGGTAAATGCTCCCAAAGTTGAAATCATTCTCAAGTAGTAGTTCGTTTTTGAGAGCTGTTTTTCCTTTAGGCTGGATCCTCTTTGTCTCTGTGATCCTCTGTGATCCTCATAGAAACCAAGTTCATCACCAAGTTAACTGTTTAAAATATTTTCTTCCTGGGTTCTTGTTCTCTGAGCTAGCTTTCCTTCTTGAAGATATTTTATTATCTAGCTCAATAACATCATCAATGCATGGAGGGCTGGAGATGCAAGAATAACCTTCAGGTTCCACAGATATTCTTAGAAAATGGAAATCGTGTGTAGTCCCAATCTAGTGACTGTTTTGGACATATGCCAAGTTCTTGAAAAAAAAAAGGAGTGGGGATTATAATAACAAAAGATTTGGCTAGAAGGTGAGCACTATTTGTGACTGAGGGCACTCATCATGGCAGTGACTTGGGGAGAGTATCTGACAGGCCTGAAAAACATTCCCAACTTCTTGTGCTAGGATGTACATCCATGTACACTTGCACAAAATATTCCAAACTGAACTGGCCACAGTTTCCTCTCTTTTCTTCCTTTTTGTCTTCTGTTTTTGGTTCTGTGGTTTCATAACAAACTGTTTGAGAATATGGAGGGGGTAAAGAAAATGGAGCTCTTCAGAATTTTTTTTATTCTCCTTTCTAAAAGAATTTCTGGAACTCTAACTTCCAGTCCATGCAACTCTGATATTTGGCTGGATAGATTCTAACAAACAGCAGCCCCTCTCATGACTTGCTGACAAAGCCTGTGATTTATCGTCTTCCAAAGGAGGAAAGGGGGGGAGAGAGAGAGAGAGAGAGAGAGAGACCAGAGAGACCGTCACCCTATGAATGCTCTAGTCTAGCAGAAAAGAAAAGGATTTCATTTGTCCTGCCAAGTACCTGCTCTCTTGGAACACATCTGGATGATTAATATTGCTGTCTGACATTTTGATACTAATCTCTAAAATACTGTTTCAACTCAGAAGCTTCACTTTAGAACATTGCAATAAAAAGCTGATTGGTGATTAAATACCTTTAGATAAACTGCACTGGAGTCTGGATGTGACCATGATGGAACCACAGCGAACATTTCTTTAAGCTTGGTTTGTATTTCTACAAAAGAATCCAAGCCTCATGTATCCCCCTGAAATTACTTAAATTAAAAGGGATTCAGGTATTCTACATCCTAGCCTTGCTCTTTTCATATTCTAAATAAATGCCCTAGTTGTCATTCTTAAGCATAAATTATCCTTAGTCTCCTTAACAAAGGTGCCACTCAATAATGAAAGCAAACCAGACTCATAAAGCTGTACTAACTTAACACTTTTTTAACAAAAGAAATGGCAAAGCAGTATCATAGCAGTCACTAATAAGGAATTTGACAGAATTTATATGTGGATCTACTGATACCTCTCTGGGTGATTTACAATAAATCAGCAAAGGTTTTCCATTTACAGTAATTAATCCACAAATAAAAACAGACTGATAGCATTAGAAACAGAACTTTCCTATAGGGGACACCCTGCCTTTAAATTAGAGAAGTCTTATTTGACATTTGGTTGAAGCAATGCAGGTTGCTGCCTTCCTTGAATCAAACTGATGGCTTGTATATTTCAAAGCAGTTTTCTAATGCATTTTTCCTGCATCTGGTGGTGGTGGTGGAGGAGGGGGGGGAAGAGGAGGAAGAGGTTCTGAGATTCTGTTCCATGAGGAGTTGATACAAAGGTACGGCTGCTAAATATCATGAAAATTGTACGCATTTACTGTGAATAATTTTCTGTTAATTCCTTATTCCATAACTTCAGTATTCCTTTCCCATAAAACCTATGTGTTATTCCCATTTATATATAAAGCATTGTCACCAAGACAGCTTCCTACAACAGATCATATAATGAGTGAGTAGTAAAAATAAGATCTCAGCCCAGCTTCACATACCCAGATTCAACTCCCTTCCCTTGATGGCTGGCCAAACTGGCTAAGAATTTGGGGGGGAGGGGTTAGGTTCATTTTTTTAAAACTACATTCATCTAATTCATACCACCAAATAGATCAATGAATGATGCAACAAGAGCTTCTGGCTTGTCACAGAGCCTTACCCTGATTTTTGCTGAGATGTAATCATGGCCCAAGGTCACCCAATTACTTTCTAAAGAAGGACTGGAACTTGGATGTTCCAGTTTCCTAGTCCCATACATCAATCATCACACAACGTTGTCTTGAAGAAGGCTTATATATCAGGACCAATATTTCACTTTTTTAGAAATCCAAAGTATTTGGAGAAGAGATATTTTAGGGAATACTTTTATGCACAATGGCCTTCCCAGGGATACGTAAGTGATGGTAACTAAAATTAAGTTAGATAGGAAGCCTAAAAGTCAGAGGAATAAGCTTAAATTGGCCATTCACCAGACCTGGTACACAATCTTCCCCACCTTGGTGAGATGTAGTGTTTATTTAAATTACAGTAACAGTTTCCAAAAGTTAAAGTAAAGTTTCTTTCAATCCCAGCTCAACTCTTAATTTCTTGGATTCATTCATTTGATTTCCTTGGCAACACTACAGAAATGGTATGTCAAGGCTCTCTTCCAGGATGTTTGCTCATCTGCCCAGTCCAGCTTAGCTTTACAACAGCAGTTCTCAACCTGTGGGTCGCGACTCCATTTGGTGTCGAACGACCATTTCACGGGGGTCGCCAAACAACACAGTCTGCCATTTTTTCCCCTTTTCCTTAGCTGTGCTACTCCCTCTTATTCTATTGGCTTTTGAAAGCCAATAGAATAGACTCTATTCAAGAGACTCTATTCTATTGGCTTTCGAAAGCCAATAGAATCTATTGGCTTTTGAAAGCCAATAGAATAGACTCTCTTGAATAGAGTCTAATTCTATTGGCTTTCAAAAGCCAATAGGAATTGTCCAGGCAAAGTTGTCAGAAGTGATGTGCTACTGCCTTCTTCTAAAACCTAAAAGCAGGGGTCTTCAAACTCGGCTCTTTTATGACTCATGGACTTCAACTCCAGAATTCCTCAGCCAGGCACACTGACTGAGGAATTCTGGGAGTTGAAGTCCATGAGTCATAAAAGGGCCGAGTTTGAAGACCCCTGCCTAAGAGAAAACAAGTAGCCTAACGTCACCCAGCTGGTTTTGTGCCTAAGGTGGGACTAGAAGTCACACATTTCCTGTTTCTAGCCTGGTGGTTTTAACCACTATATCAAACTACCCTATCTTTTGTATAGGAACAAAGGGAGAAGTCCTCTCATTTTGTCTTCAAAATAATAACTGTGGTCCAAACTCATCCAGCAAAGATGAAACCACTGTTTTACCTGCAGTTTGATTATTTCCTTCAGTATACTTACATGCATTTACTAAGGCAGGGAATGGAAAGTTGAAGTATTTACCAAATTTTAAGTGTTATTAAACAATTAGGCAAATTGTTTAAATGAAGGAAAAATGCTTAAGGGAAGGGAAGGGAAAACGCAGCAAGGGAAATTGCTTGAATTGAATTTGATGGAAAAGTATTCAATTAAATTAGATACTTTCATAATTTTAATGAAATGAATTTCAGCTTTTGTTCTGGATCCATCTACTTATTGATGGAGTATCTATTTCTCAGCAAAAAAATGAATTATTAACTGATAATTTGTATAGCTGATTCAACTCTAACAAAGCACGAGCAGTTCATGGGATGCCTTTTGCCCTGTTTTTATCTTTGGAGTTGGCAAACAAGCAGGAATATTTACTTGAAAGTAAGCTCTGCCGGTTTCAATGGGGCTTGTTGAAGTGTGTCTATATCATTCCAAGCATTCTGACTTAAATTAGTCTCTGAAGTGAGCTCAACAAGAGGGGGAGGTGAGATGAGCTATATAA